GCTGGATGTGGTGGCGCATGCCTGTAATCCCAGCTACTGGGGAGGCTGAGGCAGGAGAATCACACGGATCCAGTAGGGGGAGGTTGCAGTGAGCCATGATCATGCCACTTCACTCCAGCCTGGGCGAAAAAGCAAAACTCTGTCTCAAAAAAAAATTTTTGCTACAGGATCCAGAAGAAAGCCACAGCATCCCATATTTGATACAGGTACCTGAGGGCTATAGTAGACTACTATAATAAACATGAGCAGGGCATGGTGGTTCACATCTGTAATCCCAGCACTTTGAGAGGCCATGGTGGGAGGATCCCTTGAGGCCAGGAGTTCAAGACCATTCTGGGCAACATGGTGAGACCTTGTCTCCACAAAATTAAAAAGTTAGCCAGGTGTGGTGGCATGCATCTGCAGTCCCAGCTACTCAGGAGGCTGAGGTGGAAGGATTGCTTAAGCTAGGAGGCTTAGTGATCTGTGTGACAGTGCCACTGCACTCCAGCCTGGGTGACAAAGTGAGACCCTATCTCAAAAAAAAGGAACATAAAGAAATAGAATATGGATGAGGTTTGGTGTACTCCTCAAAGAAGCCCAGGCGTATGGCTACTTAGTTATGGTGTGTCATCAAACACCTGAAGCTGCAGTGGCTCTAGTGTTGTAGGAGATAGCCACCCACGGGCACTCCCTTACCATCTGCTGAGGTTCTGTGGCTCCCAAATGGACCAGAGCAGAGAAGTATCATGTGACTCCATTTTCCTACTGTGCTAAGATCCCTGCTCTTTCTGATCATCCTTTTCTCTGGGCCACTTGGACCCAGGCTGGGACTCCACACTTCCTGGCCCTTCACTTGCTCACAGGCGGCACTCTTCTTCCCCTTCCCAGTCAGGGGTGACAGTGCTGCAACAGAGCATTGGCCATGAGACTGGAGAATGCTGCTTCCCTCCAGAGCAGCTCTAAGGTGAGCATTGGCATTGCCTGACAACCGTGACTTCCCTGTGCTCAAAGTCAAAGTACTTCCTTTTTTTCCTCCATAATGTATTGTGATGTTATCAATATTAAATAAAATACTCATTTCATCATTTGCTTCTGTTCATGTTTTCTTGAATAAGTCCTCAATTTTCTTTCCAAAATGTTGCATGCCACACTTGAGGCAAGCTAAGAACATTCATCTACAGCAACGTATATGCTCAATACATGCTGTGTGATCCTAGTGGTTTTTTCACAGCCTTCTACAAGTTTTTGGAAAATGCCTGTCATGGTGACCTTCATGCATCTTCAACCCAAAGGCTTTCTCGCACCTCGCAGAGCCCAGCGATGGGCCCTCCGGCTCCACCACCGCCACACCTGCCACACCGCCACACCACACCCGCATGACTGTTGGCTCTTCACGCTTCTTCCTCCCTCGCTGGCGCTGGTGCCGGACGGGAAAGTCAAAGTACTTTCTAAGGCTCAGAGTTCTCTATCTAGAAAGTATTGAAATCCACTACATTGTATGCTTAACTGAAAAGCTGGTTACTCAAAGCCTCTAGCTTTCTCAGAAGTGCTGATTTAACCATAAAATTTCAGAACAACAAATAAGCCAGAAATTTCCATACAGATAGGTTGTTCATTACTTTTATATAAAGTTAGGTGACTCAAGTGAATTCAAAGGCCAAATCTTTGAAATTCAAATAATGGACTTGCAAGTTACTAGAGCTTCCATTGCAAAATCCATAAAATAAATAAAACAGTTAATTATACTTCATTTACACTTAGTTTTTGACAATATATTTTTAGCATTTGCTGATGCAGCATAAGGTTGCTTTTGTTTACTTCTTCACAACTGAACATGCAGTCAAGCAGCTTAGTCCAACAAGCCGTAATTTGAGAGTAAGGAGTCATAACTTTTGGCATGCCAAATTCATACTCCTTATATTCTCTTAAGAAATAAAATTTATAGCCAGGCCTGGTGGTGTGTACCTGTAGTCCCAGCTACTCAAGAGGCTGAGGTGGAAAGATGCCTTGAGCCCAGGAGGTTGAAGCTGCGGTGAGCCATGATCATGCCAGCTACCTGGAAGCCTGAGGCAAGAGGATCCTTTGAGCCCAGGAATTCAAGGTCGCAGTGAGTTATGATTATACCACTGTACTTCAGCTTATGTAACAGAATGAGACCCTGTCTTAAAAAAAAAAAAGTAGAAGTGAACACAACTGACATGCGACTTCTGGGTTGTGTCCCTTAAATGGATAACATGCTTTTTACTCTACTTTGCCTTCTCCCATCTTGCTGCCTGGAACTTAGACATGGCGACAAACCCTCTAGGACCAAGCAGATGAGGCTAATATTTTAGGGACACTTGAACAGCAGCATCGAAGAACCAACATATCAGCATTATCTGAGAAAGGAATCAGACTATTAAATGAGAAATAAAATTCTTTTTTATTTATTTTTTATTGTTTTGGGGCTCTGGGGCACATGTGCACGTCCTGCATCCTGCAGGATTCTTGCATAGGTACATACATGCCATGTTGGTTCACTGTCTCCATCCCCCTGCCCCCACCATTGTCTACATCAGGCATTTCTCCAGGTGTTATCCCTCCCCCTCCTCCCCGTACTTGCCACCTCTGTGCCTCCATCCCCTCCCCTCCCCTCCACCCCATAACCTAGCCCTGTGAGTGTTGTTCCCTTCCCTGTGCCCAAGTGTTCTCATTGTTCATCACCTGCCTATGAGTGAAAACATACAGTCTTTGGTTTTCTGTTATTGTGTCAGTTTGCTGAGAATGACGGTTTCTAGGTTCATCCATGTCTCTACAAAGGACACGAACTCATCGTTTTTTATGGCTGCATAGTATTCCATGGTGTATATGTGCCACATTTTTTTTGTCCAGCCTATCATTGATGGGCATTTGGGTTGATTCCAGGTCTTTGCTATTGTAAACAGCACCACAATGAACATGCGTGTGCATGTGTCTTTATGATAGAACAATTTATAATCCTTTGGGTATATACCCAGTAATGGGATTGCTGGGTCAAATGGAATTTCTATTTCTAGATCCTTGAGGAATCACACAATGTCTTCCACAATGGTTGAACTAATTTACATTCCCACCCAACAGTGTAAAAGCGTTCCTTTTTCTCCACATCCTCTCCAGCATCTGTTGTCTCCAGATTTTTTAATGATCACCATTCTAACTGGCATGAGATGGTATCTCAATGTGGTTTTGATTTGCAGTTCTCTAATGACCAATGATGATGAGCATTTTTTCATATGTTCGTTGGCCTCATATATGTCTTCTTTTGTAAAGTGTCTGTTCATATCCTTTGCCCACTTTTGGATGGGCTTGTTTGTTTTTTTCCTGTAAGTCTACTTTCGTTATTTGTAGATTCTGGATATTTGCCCTTTGTCAGATGGGTAGATTGTGAAAATTTTTTCCCATTCTGTTGGTTGCTGGTCTACTCTAATGATTGTTTCTTTTGCTGTGCAGAAGCTCTTAAGTTTAATTAGGTCCCATTTGTCTATTTGGCTTTTGTCTCCATTGCTTTTGGTGTTTTAGTCAGGAAGTCCTTGCCTATGCGTATGTCCTGAATGGTTTTGCCTAGGTTTTCTTCTAGGGTTTTTAGGGTGTTAGTTCGTATGTTTAAATCTTTAATCCATCTGGAGTTAATTTTTGTATAAGGTGTTAGGAAGGGGTCCAGTTTCAGCTTCCTGCATATGGCTAGTCAGTTTTCTCAACACCATTTATTAAACAGGGAATCCTTTCCCCGTTGCTTATTTTTGTCCAGTTTGTCAAAGATCAGATGGCTGCAGATGTGTGGTGTTGCCTCCAAGATATAGACCTTCTGTTCCATTGGTCTCTATCTCTGTTCTGGTACCAGTACCATGCTGTTTTGATTACACTAGTCTTATAGTATAGTTTGAAGTCAGGTAGTGTGATGCCTCCAGCTTTGTTCCTTTTGCTTAGGGTTGTCTTGGCTATGCGGGCTCTCTTTTCGTTCCATATGAAGTTTAAAATGATTTTTCCAGTTCTGTGAAGAAGGTCAATGGTAGCTTGATGGAGATAGCATTGAATCTATAAATTACTTTGGGCAGTATGGCCATTTTCACAATATTGATTCTTCCTAACCATGAGCATGGAATGTTTTTCCATCTGTTTGTGTCCTCTCTTATTTCCTTGAGCAGTGGTTCATAGTTCTCCTTGAAGAGATCTTTTACCTCCTTTGTTAGTTGTATTTCTAGATATTTTATTCTCTTTATAGCAATTGTAAATGGGAGTTTGCTCATGATTTGTCTCTCTGTTTGTCTGTTATTGGTGTATAGGAGTGCTTGTGATTTCTGCACATTGATTCTGTATCCTGAGACTTTGCCAAAGTTGCTTATCAGCTTAAGGAGGTTTTGGGCTGAGATGATGGTGTCTTCTAAATACATGATCATGTCATCTGCAAATAGAGACAATTTGACTTCTTCTTTTCCTAATTGAATGCCTTTATTTCTTTTTCTTGCCTGATTGCTCTAGCTAGAACTTCCAATACTATATTGAATAGGGGTGGTGACAGAGGGCATCCTTCTCTAGTGCCAGCTTTTAAAGGGAATGCTTCTAATTTTTGCCCATTCAGTATGATATTGGCTGTGGGTTTGTCATAAATAGCTTTTATTGTTTTGAGATACATTCCATCAATCCCTAGTTTATTGAGAGCTTTTAGCATAAAGTGCTGTTGAATTTTGTCGAAGGCCTTCTCTGCATCTATTGAGATAATCATGTGGTTTTTGTCTTTGGTTCTGTTTATGTGGTGAATTACGTTTATAGATTTGCCTATGTTGAACCAGCCTTGCATCCCCAGTATGAAGCCTACTTGATTGTGATGGATAAGATTTTTGATGTGCTGTCAAATTCGGTTTGCCAGTATTTTATTGAAGATTTTTGCATCAACGTTCTTCATGGATATTGGCCTGTAGTTTTCTTTTTTAGTTGTGTCTCTGCCAGTTTTTGGTATCAGGATGATGTTGGTTTCATAGAAAGAGTTAGGCAGGTCCTCCAACGAAGTTCGTGCGAAGCTTCCTATTATGGCTTCCAGCGGGGTCCTGGTGAGCACTGCCAGCTCGGCTAATGAAACCCCCGAAATACTGGACGACGTGGGAGATTGGCTTCGGGGTGTCTACTGCTTTGCCACTGACAGGAATGACTTTCAGAGGAACTTGATTCTCAATTTGGGACTCTTTGCTTCGGGAGTTTGGCTGGCCAGGAACTTGAGTGACATTGACTTCATGGCACCTCAGCCAGGGGTGTAGCCAAGTGGACAAATGGAATCCTGTGCTGAACCTGAGCCTTCCAGAAAACAACCTACAATCTGTGACCATCACAAGATGTGCCCTGATGGCAGCTGAAGTTTGATTTAGATGGGCACTTTCCTTTTCCTTATCCCTGCCTAGTTTCCTTTTGTTCCTTGAGTCCACGCAGAATTCCATTCTCTGGTCAGCAGACAAGTTTAAGCTAAAGTATTGCCTCTGTTCTGTAAAGTTCTGTACAAAGTTTCTAAGCTTCTCCAGGTGGTGATCTTTGTTCTTGTCCTGAGAAATAACAATGCTGTTTTAACAAACATTTGAAATAAATACTGCACACACATACAAAAAAAAAAAAAAAGAAAGAAAGAAAGAGTTAGGCAGGATTCCCTCTTTTTGTATTGTTTGGAATAGTTTCAATGGGAGTGGTACCACCTCCTCTTTGTATGTCTGGTAGAATTCAGCTGTGAACCCATCTGGAGCTGGACTTTTTTTGGTTGGTAGGCTAATAATTGCTGCCTCAACTTCAGACCTTGTTACTGGTCTATTCAGGATTTCAACTTCTTCTTGGCTTAGTCTTGGGAGTGTGCAAGTGTCCAGGAATTTATCCATTTCTTCCAGATTTACTGGTTTATATGCATAGAGTTGTTTGTAGTAATCCCTGATGGTAGTTCGTATTTCTGAGGAATCAGTGGTGATCTCCCCTTTATTGTTTTTCATTGCATCTATTCGATTCTTCTCTCTTTTCTTTTTTATTAGTCTAGCTAGCAGTCTGTCTATTTTGTTGATCTTTTCAAAGAACCAGCTCCTGGGTTTATTGATTTTTTGAAGGGTTTTTTTGTATCTCTATCTCCTTCAGTTCTGCTCTGATCTTAGTTATTTTTTTTCTTCTGCTTGCTTTTGAGTTTTTTTGATCTTGCTCCTCCACTTCTTTCAATTTTGACGATAGGGTGTCGATTTTAGATCTTTCTTTGTTTCTTATGTGGGCATTTATTGCTATAAATTTCCCCCTAGACACTGCTTTAAATGTGTCTTATAGGATCTGGTACATTGTGTCTTCATTCTTGTTGGTTTCAAAGAACGTTTTTATTTCTGCCTTCATTTCATTGTTTATCCATTGGTCCTTCAGGAGCAAGTTGTTCAGTTTCCATGTGATTGTTTGGTTTTGAGTGTTTTTCTTAATCCTGAGTTCTAATTTGATTGTGCTGTGGTCTGAGAGACTGTTTGTTATGATTTCTGTTCTTTTGCATTTGCTGAGGAGTGATTTACTTCAATTACGTGGTCAATTTTGGAGTAAGTGCAATGTGGTGCTGAGAAGAATGTGTATTCTGTGGATTTGGGGCGGAGAGTTCTGTAAATGTCCCACAGAAATGAACCCGGCACCTCATTTGGAACCGTGAAGTCCTCCAGCCCTCTGCGTCTCATTCACTGGGAACTGCATTCTGGCACTGGCTTCTCTCGGCCATCTTCCTTTTTTATTATTTTTAAAACTCTATCCGTGTGTGACAGATTAGAGAAATAAAATTCTATTCTGTTTAAATTTGTGTTGGTCTTTGTTAAAGTAGCTAAATCTTTATCCTGATTGAAATATCTTGCAATTTCAATGTCACATTTACAATTCATGTGTTTTTTGGTTACTAATTGCTATTTCATGTTCACTAATTGTTACAGAGTATTTAAGGCAAGGAGCAATAAAACATTCAAAGAATTATACAAATTTCTGTACAAAGAGAGATAACTTTACTAAAATTGGTGGACATTAACATGAAGCAATAGTTTTAAATGGTCGTTATATCACCTAATTATAAAAGTCCTAACCCAATGAGCAAATCCTATTCTCAAGGACTTGTGAGTAGCAGCAAATGCTGCCTATTCATAAAGAACATTAACACAGTCTGGAAGCAGAGTGTGTCTAAATTCTGAATTTGGTTTTTGCTCTTTTGGAGCAGCTAGGGCAAAGGCTAGAAGAAAGATTCCAATCATTAATAATAAGTAATTTCTTGAGGCTAAATTTTATTAGCAGATGTTATCCATGTATGCTAAAACTATATTTAATAGTCTGTTGAGTTTCAGGTTTGTTTTTATTTTGGGGTTTTTTTTGAGACAGAGTCTCACTCTGTTGCCCAGGCTAGAGTGCAGTGGTGCAATCTCAGCTCACTGCAACCACCACCTCCCAGGCTCAAGCTATTCTCCTGCCTCAGCCTCCTTAGTAGCTGGGGCTACAGGTGCATGCCACCATATCCAGTTAATTTTTGCATTTTTAGTAGAGATGAGGTTTCACCATGTTGCCTAGGCTGGTCTCAAACCCCTGACCTCAAGTGATCTACCTGCCTCAGCCTCCCAAAGTACTGGAATTACAGGCATAAGCCACTGCACCTGGCCTTGAGTTTCAGTTTTAAAGTTAGCTAAGAATAGTGTGTTCATAAGAAATATGTTCAAAGTAAGTGTTCATAAGAGATATGTTCAAAAAGTTCAAAAAAAAACTGAGATTGTTGTAATTATGAGCTCTTTCAGAAAGTAGATTGCCATTAGATGCAAATTTCCATTCATAAATAACACAGCTAGAGAACTGAGAAATTTAGTTTTGAGTCATTCCCTTAGAATTATAAATACAAGGAAGAAGTGAAGAAAAAGAGAAGTAACCTTGAAATAAAGAGCACTAGTACCTAGAGGTTTTATATCTTTGTGATGCCCAACATGACCATAATTTCTTTTTTTTTTTTTTTTTTTAAGATGGAGTCTGGCTCTGTCACCCAGGCTGGAGTGCACTGGTGCAATCTCGACTCACTGCAACCTCTACCTCTTGAATTCAAGCAATTCTTCCGCCTCAGCCTCCCATGTAGCTGGGACTACAGGTGTATGCCACCATGCCCAGCTAAATTTTTGTATTCCTAGCAGAGACAGGGTTTTACCATGTTGGTCAGACTGGTCTCAGACTCCTGACCTCCAGTGATCCACCCGTCTTGACCTCCCTAATTGCTGGTATTACAGGCATGAGCCACTCAATGACCATAATTTCTATTTCTACTACAGCTACCACAAATAAAAGAAGTAGTATTATTAAGAGAGGCTGGGTGCAGTGGCTTATGCTTATAATCTCAGCACTTTGGGAGGCTGAGGTGGAAGGAATGGTTGAGCCCAGGAGTTAGAGACCAGCTTGGGAAACATAGGGAGACCCTGCCTCTATAAAAATTAAAAAAAAATTAGTCAGGTGTTATGTCATGCACCTGTGGTCCCAGCTACTTGGGCAGCTGAGACAGGAGGATTACTTGGGCCTGGGAGGTTGAGGCTGCTGTGAGCCATGATTGCACCACTGCACTCCAGCCTGGGTGACAGAGAAAGACCCTCTCTCAAAAAAAAATCAAATAAAATACTAAAAAAGAAAAATAGAAAAAGAAATGTGTATTTCTAGTCCTTACAATTTTCTTTGTTGTTGTTGTTATTGTTGCTTCGACTTAGGATTTCACTCTATCACTCAAGTCGTAGTGCAGTGGTGCCATCACAGTTCACTGCAGCCTCGACCGCCACAGGCTCAAGTGATCCTCCTATCAGCCTCCCGAGTAGCTGGGGGACTACAGGCGTGCACCACCATGCCCAGCTATTTTTTTTTTTTTGTACTCTGTAGAGACAGAGTTTTGCCCTGTTGTCCAGGCTGGTCTTGAACTCCTGAGCTCAAGCCGTCTGCCCACCTCAGCCTCCCAAAGTGCTGGGATTACAGATGTGAGCCACCTTGCCCAGCCTAGTGCTTATAATTCTCTTCAGGCCACCAAATTAGGTGAGAGTGGTAAGAATACAGGATACCTGAATGTTGCCGAAAGTGAGATAAATCACATCTTAGAGAACATTCAGGGAACATCTGGGAGAAGTTATGAGAACATTCAGCTTTACAAATCATCATTAGTCCTAAATTAATGACAGCAATCTCATTTCAAAGTGAGGATTAGTAATAATGAGCTAACTTTTCTCAGTTTCTCTATTTTCACTAATGGGACAGTGATCACCATGTCACTTAGTCACAGAGGATTACACACCCACGATTCTTCCCTCTGCTTTATCCCGCTTCTTACTGTCACTGCTTATTGCCATTCATTGTCAGCCTTTCTCTTCATTCCCACCCTGAATGAATTTAGGTACTTGGGGTACCTCACGTCTTAGACCACTGAGATAGCCTTCTTTGAACACACCTTCCAATGCCACATTCACTAATTCATTCAATACATGTCTACATGACTAGGCGCTGCAGTAAGAGCTATGAGTACCATGTTATACAAGTCAGACACCCTTCCTGCCCCAGTAGAGCACATGTTCTAGCAAGGGATGCTGGCAAACTAGCTTTATTACATCCTTGTCCTCAAAGACTACAGAATAGTCCCGGCTCTTATCCTATGTTATTAACTGAAGTGTTTCCTCCCATCCACAAATTCATATTTTGAAGTCCTAACCCCCAATGTGACTATATTTGGAGATACAGAGTCTTTAAGGAGGTAATTAAGTTTAAATGAGTTCATAAGGGTGGAACCCTAATCTGACACCACTGACGTCCTCATAGGAAGAGGAAGAGACCCCAGGGAACTCTCTTTCTCTCTTTCTCTCCAAGGACACACAGAGGAAAGGTCATGTGAGGACACGGCAAGAAGGCAGCCATCTGCAAGCCGAGGAGAGAGGCCAGAAGAAACTAATCCTGGCGGCATCTTGATCTTGGACTTCCAGCCTCCAGAACCGTGAGGAAATCAATGTCTGCTGTTTAAGCCGCTGTGGTATTCTGTTACGGCAGCCCGAGCTAATACATCCTGTTACTCTTGTTCACACCAGACTTAGGCACTATTCTCTATTACCAACCCTCACCTCTTGTTAAGTAAACTTCTCCAAAGGCATATAACTTATATTCTTCTCCTCCTCCTCCTCCTTCTCCTTTTTTTTTTGAGACAGGGTCTGGCTCTGTCACCCAGGCTGGAATGCAGTTGCATGATCTTGGCTCACTGCTGCCTCAACCTGCCATACTCAAGTGACTCTACCACCTCAGCCTCCCAAGTAGCTGGGACCACAGGTGCAGCCACTACCACGCCCAGCTAATTTTTTTTATTTTTTATAGAGGCAGGGTTTCACCCATGTTTCTTAGGCTGGTCTCGAGCTCCTGGGCTTAAGCAATCCTTTGTCTCAGACTCCCAAATGTGCTGGGATTCCAGGCATGAGCCACTGTATCAACTTTTTTTTTTTTTTGGTACAGAGTCTCACTCCATAGCCCAGGCTAGAATGCAGTGATTCAATCTCAGCTCACTCCAGCCTTGACTTCCCAGGGGCTCAGGTGATCCTCCTACCTCAGCCTCCCCAGTAGCTAGGA